GTATGCCAAATTGTACCTCAACGGGACAACTATCTCGGGCAACACCACTTTGGGAGTCACTAATCAGTTCTCTCCACTCAATACGGATCAGTGGGCCAAATATGTGCACAATGTGGTGTTTGAGGAACATGCGCCCTTGTCGTTGAAGGGGACTACCATGTCGTACCTGGGCAAACTCAAATCTCGCGTGACGATGGACAAGACGATCAAGCAAAACAGTAAGTGGATCGTCTTTTATTGGTAACGAAGTCACTGGCTGACGTTCTCAGCCCTAAACGGCTTCGCTGGATTTTCCATCGAGGGGTCGCAATTGCTTCTGCCTGCTGAACCAGACGGCACCAACCTGATCGCCAACGCCACTTTGCCCAACCCCTCGGTCATGACATTGGAAATCGTGAGTCAGCAGCATGATCCGCCGTCGAGTACCACTAACAACCGATAGGGAACAACTGTGTTGGACATCAAGAGCGGAGATCTCGTCATCGGCAACGCAACGATCGATAATCTCGTTCTTCGACCGGGCAACCATTCCAATCCCGTCCGCGGCAAACTGGATCTTAGAACCGTGCTGAAGAACCTTGGACCGGTCCTGCAGAGCCAGAAAGACTCCATCCGCAACGGATATCTGACGCTCAACACCGTTGCCAAATCGGTCGTTTATGACGGCGTGGAGGTGCCATATTATACGAATGTGATGAAGGACCTGACCCTTAGCGCGAAGATTCCTATCGGCGGGCTGCTGGTCAACACCCTCCGGGGGATTTTCAACAAGAACGGGACAAACATCCTCGACCAGATGAATATCACGGACTCATCGTCGTCGGAAAGCACGAGCGGTCTGCTGTCCGGACTGCAGCATCTAAACTTGAGCGGCCTGGGCGGAGGCCTGAGCAGTAAATTGACTAGTCGATCGCTAGCTGAATTCCTGGATCGACCCGACGATAAGTTATTATTGGTTGATGTGCTGAAAGGATTCTTGTGAACGAATCACGACATGCTTGATGAACCGTGGATATTGAGATGAGCGGCGTTTGGAGTCCTTTTTTGATCTCTATTTTGTCTCTTCTATTTTCTTGTTATATATGAAGAGCAGTCCCTTGTATATACATGAACAAACACAATATTAATGCTCGGAATTATCCAATAATTCAATACAGGAAATCCCCCTCCGCATCGAAATAGGAAACGTGGGAATCGAAGCACGCCAGGCGGGAAGCAAAAGCCATGTGAAGATGAAACCGTGACATCGGGACTTGTTCCATGGATCTACTGCGACTTCGACCTATCACACACCATCCTCCAGGGTTGCACTCTTTGTCTCTCGTCAGCCAATGGCTCGAGTGTTTAGCAGATACTTGGCTTGTCAGGGTAATTGGTCAGTACCAAGGCAGTCCGTGGTTGAGTTCCTTTATACACTTAGTGAAGCCTTTTGGTGCCGACTGCCAAGGATGAGGATTAAGACGCATGCCACTTCTCGGTGTCCATTTTCCCGCACCGGCAGAGCTTCCTTCTCCTATTCCCTGAGCTAATGGAAGGATCCATACTCCATAGCCGGGACTTGATTGCCGATCAAGTGCTAAATGTGTGACCTGTGGAGCTAAAGAGGACCACGCCCTATCTACCTACCTTGTGGTCTGTTCGTGTCTGGGGTAACAGTAGGGTTGCAAAACAGCTCACCACGTGGAGAGGTCATATTATGTGTAACATCGATGCTGACATCTCCGTCAAGAGCCCTAAGCTCCTCGTCCAGACCAGTCAAGCCTTAATCCGACACGTAAACTTTGGTGGATTGCGGGGGAGGCGGTTGAGGGACGGCCCCCATGATCCAGTATCAGCCTATCCGCACGCCGCAACCCTGTAATATCGTGTTGGAGTCCACATGATGTTGGTGGCGTTTGCCCAGAGTCGTACTAGTCCATAACCTTGCGCTCTTGGTCTGACCCTGAATACGTCGTTCTGTTGGTAGGTAGTACTGGGATGTTGCCGTGCGTCTTGGAGGTGGTCCAATCGTTTGCTGGCATTCACCCTGGGGTTAATGAATCAGGCGACTTGGGACTGTGGTATTCACTACTAGACTGGTCCATCAGAAACAACGGGACATGCCGCTAAATGGCCCGTTTGTTTCTCTCGGATTATGTCCTGGAGCTTATGTCCGGGTTTGGTTTGTTCGCGCTTGCGGGGGCAGAGAGTATTTAACTGCTGCGGGATACTCGCATCTTGGATACTTCTTCTCTCCTTGGTCTCTTTTTGTCTTCCCAAGTATTTTCTTTTCCCTTACAGTGGCTGGCCTGTCGTACAAAGCTGCTTTTGACAGCTGGCTGCAAAAATGAAGAAGTTCTACAATGTCTACTTTCTCTGTAGCTTCATCACCTTGGGTGAGGATGTCTCCGTCTAGAACCGCTTGCGGACGCTTTACTGATTCTCCCAAAACAAAAAGGTGGTGGATTATTTGGCTTTGACATCAGTAGCATGAGCGGTATTTATCTCTTCGTTCTTTTTCCAGTGAGTTTCTGTCTGACAATCGCAGGTGTCCTGGGAACTCAGGCGTATGTGAACTACTTCCGTGTGGGCAGTGGCCAGTATAAGCAGGCAAGTTTCCATCTAGCTCTCTATCTCGAGTCCCCTCTTCTAAACTAGTACTAGGGTGGCATCACCTGTGCCATGCCCTTTGGCTCGCTCATTGGTGCTCTGTGCTCGAGTTTCATTGCGGATCGCTACTCTCGTGTCACCGCAATCCAGTTGTCGACCATCCTGTGGACTATTGGCTCCATGTAAGTCTGTCGCATATCTGCATCTGCCATGTCAACTAATCCCTCTAGCTTTATGACTGCCTCCAATGGTATCGCTCTCCTCGTCGTCGGACGTGTAATCGCGGGTCTTTGCATCGGTATCGCCTCGGCTATGGTTCCTGTCTACCAGGCAGAGGTCGCTCCAAAGGAAATTCGTGGTCGAGTTATCTCCCTCCAACAGTGGGCCATCACTTGGGGTATCTTGATTCAGTTCTTTATTGTGAGTATCCAGCTCCTTTATTCCAGACGGAGACAATTTCACTGACAATTGGCAAGCAATATGGTGCTAGCAACGTCGATGGCGGTCCCGATAACCCGACTCAAAGTACTGCTGCCTTCCGCATTCCCTGGGGTATCCAGATGGTGCCTGGCTTTATCCTCTTCGTCGGCCTGTTCTTCTTCCCCAAGTCGCCCCGTTGGCTTGCAAGCAAAGACCGCTGGGAGGAAGCTATGGAGGTGCTTGCCAACCTTCACGGAAACGGAGACCGCAACCATCCCAAAGTTCTGGCTGAGTATCAGGAAATCGAGGAGGCTTTGGCTCTGGAGCGTGAGCAGGCGTCTACTAGCTACCAGGAACTGACCAAGCCTCGCATTCTCAAACGTGTGTTCCTTGGTATGAGTTTGCAGATGTGGTCGCAGTTGTGCGGTGAGTTGGTCGTAACATCTAACATGAGGCACACAAACTAATGGCGGGGTGTTACAGGTATGAACGTCATGATGTACTACATTGTGTATATCATGCAGAGTACTGGAACTGGCAGCCCTCTCCTGACCGCTTCCATTCAGTACATCTTGAACACTGCGTTGACCCTGCCCGCCATCGTGTACCTCGACAGATTCGGTCGTCGTCCTGCCATCCTGATTGGTTTTGCCTTGCAGGCTGTCTTCCTGTACATTGAAGGAGGTCTACAGGCTGGATTTGGCAAGCCCAACCCGCATACAGACCCCAAGCTGGATGCCATTTCTTGGACTGTGTCCGACCATCCCAACGTTGGTAAAGCGATCATCGCGCTCTCCTACCTCTTCGTCTGCTCTTTCGCGACAACCATCGGTCCTACCTCGTGGACCTACCCGGCGGAAATCTACCCGGCCAAGGTCCGCGCCAAGGCCGTCTCTCTCGCTACCGCGTCGAACTGGATCTGGAACTGTCTTCTTGCTCTGTTCGTCCCGCCTCTGCTGTGGGCGATCAACTGGAAGATGTACATGATCGTACGTGACCTTGCTGTTGTCCCAAATTCCCAACAGTCAACTGACAGTTCTTACAGTTTGCCGCCTTCAATACCGCCGCCTTCATCCACATGTTCCTCACGGCCCCCGAGACCAAGGGTTACACTCTCGAGGAAATGGACGAAGTATTTGACAGTGGCCTGCCCGCCTGGCGTAAGCTCAACAAGCGCAGCAGACTGGAGGAGCTCGAACGGGAGATCGCCGAGGGCAAGCTCAAGGTCACTGGTCACGGCGAGAAGGATGGACCTGCTGCTGCTACTACCGAGACCGCGGAGAAGCAGGCCGAGACGGTCTAAACAGTGCCTTCATTCTGAGTCATGGTGGAAAGCTTTCCTTTTTAATGTGCAATGGTGCAATGGTCCACAGGTAATAATTTGGAACATGAGCTGACTACCTCCGGGCTTGGGCTACTCCAGTTCCGTGTTTGGTTAACTTGGTTAATCTCAGGTAGTCCTCATGAGCGTTTAATGCGAGTGCTGTCTAACAGTAATATCAATTAATATCAATCCATGCTGTTGTCAGCGGTTCCCACGTTCTTAAGCCCGTGGGAGTCTACGCTAGTCCAGTTGATATGCCCAATGCGATATACAAGGACTGTTTAACTCTCAACGCTGAGCAAGACCAGACTTGGCTCGAATAATTTACCTGATCGTCCTCCTTAAGGTCCAAACTAACAAGAGCCCGATCTCAAGATAAAACATAAAACGTAGTTACAGACACAGAAGTAAAGCACATGGCTCTCGTCTTTATAAACACTGCTAACCAGCAAAGTCAGTTACAGCAGGTTCCGCAACAGAACAGTCCTGTAAAGCCAGGTGCTTGTAGACCTGCATTCACCACCCCTTGCCATATTCACCCTCAGTAAACAATGCAAGATTCACTGTATCTTTTCTCATCTCCTACCCCTCTCACTCCCCATCTACGTCATCCCTCTCCATCTAACACCACCATCACACATCACGTGCCTTCAGCAACCCTTAAGAGATGGCTACTACTACCTCCTCCGTCACCATCAACGTAAGCTCTCATCCTAATTATCGAGAGAGAATTACTAACAGCAACCGCAAAAACACAGTTCTACGGCGAGCTCCGCCAGCTGTGGGTTGAGATAAACTCCCACTGCGAGCGACTCCATCTCCTCGATTCCACTACCCGTGTCCTATCCGCCTGTATCGAATGCAAGATTACGCCTTACGGGATGGTTCCGCTCGATATTGACGGGCTCGAGAACGCAGACGAGTACGTTATGCAACTGGTTGTAAGTTCACTGCTCAATGCTTCACTTCACTTGTAAGTGGAAGCTTACCGTGGGAAGATCTGCGGCCCAGAGTTCCCCGTCGGCCCGATCATCTCGTTTGTTGACTCGGTCCGCATGATGTGTGAGCCTGTGAGTGGATCCGCGCAGGTGCATATTACTGCTATTGCGGTTCCGTATGCGGTTCGTTGCCTTGCCTTTGATGGATGGTGTGCTTGCTGATGAGGAGGGTAGACGCAGCAGCCTGATGTTGCGGCCGCTGGTGGCTACTAGGTTCTGGGTTTTGGTGTTGCTTTGCTGAAGATGTCATGCCATGTGCAAGACGGCTTGAACTGGGGAAGAGCTGCTGGGTAAGGACGATTTGAGTTGGTTGCGAGGTATACGAAGCTGACTGGGTTCTGCCGCAGGAAGACGCACGGTTGCAAGCACCAGATGAAGCATCGGTTGATGTCGTTGGAGGAGGGCTCCTGTGTTGATGACAGATGGAGGAAGGCAGAGGATAGTCTTGGGGTGGACCATCATGACCTTGTCGGATGGGTATTCCTATTGTCTAGTTGAATGAGCTCCAACGATTCTTGTACTTCGATTCGTCGGATAATCCAACGTAACAAGTAGATCCATCTGAAAGTAATCTCCCTAGGGTGCGAAATAGCTTGCTGATATGGTCTCTCTCTTGACCAAGATAGTGGTGATGAAATTAGCGATGCCTGAGGCATCGTGCAATCATCTTTATCGTACAGTAATCACCGTTGATCTTTTTCACCCCGTTTCTGCCTCAGACACTTGGTTCACAATAGCCTCCTGACCGCCGGTCTTCTAGTCAGGGGTGGCTTTTGTCTGCGGTAACCTAATCCTGTCAAGATCTGCAGTCATGTGTGACTTTGCTGTTTTCAGGGGCTGTGACCTCTTGTTTACTCGACTGCGAGCTTCAGAATTGGGTCATACCAAGTACTAGACACTTCCTCAGCTCAACCTTGATTCCTGACTCGCAAGCACAATTGTGCCTCTTAAATGATGCAAACTTGCCACCAGCCTTCGCAGTCCTGCCAGCTGTGCGTGGACTGTGGGACTGGCGCTTTCAAATAGCCTGCGGGCTCCTTGAGCAATTTGGGGGCCATTTCAGATGCCCAATCAATTTGACCGACAAAGAGATTGTAAAGCGGCTCAGTCAATGCCGGAGTCATATGATATTCAAGCACAATTACCGGATCTGAAGTCGCAGGATCTGCTCGGGCTCCAAGGGACCATCCGACCAAGAGCCGACGGTGGTACTGAATTGTTGGCTCCTTTATTCCGTGCTGTGAAATCTCACCGTCCTTTGCACACTTTACTCGTCAGATCAGACGATGCAGTGGTTGGCCTTCTCTCGTTGATAATCTTCTGATTCAACAAGGGTCAATGTACTCTGGCGAAAGTGGTGGTCGGCGGTTCACCTAGCTCCGAGATCCTTCCCGTCGGCCGAGGTCCCTGCTAGACCCTTGAGAATTTTCGCAAGTTTGCTTTGAGCAATACCTGGAAGCCGGACTTGTGTATGGCTATCTTTGCGTGGTGTTTGGCAATTGAATTGACCGACTGTCCGTTCGACCTCTGACTCAAGCGATTCGAGACCGACACGATGAAACACAGTCACGGGTACATTACGTCTTTACCTAGCACTTCTCTGCGCGGAAGTCAGTCTAGCCAACGCGACTTGCTATGACCTCGACAGAAGCGAAGCACCGGACGATGTGCCTTGTCGAGCAAATGGAACCTCAAACTGGTGCACAAGCAGGATGTCTGCTTATCAAATGGCTTGTGCTATTTGCAGGATTCTCATCCGAATGCCCTCTCGCGTGGAAGTTGTACAGATATAAACTGTGGACCAGCATGTTATGCTCTATGCTGTACGTTTGATTCCCTTTCCATGACTCGCTATTGCCCATCATTATGAAAAGCGCTTATCCGTACCTCAATACCGACCATGCCATCTAGCGGACATCAGTCGAAAAAGCAGCTATCCGATAGTCAACATGGGCTACGACACAACACATGCAAAATACTGCTGCGGATCCGTAGTGGACAATAAATGCCAAGATGGTGATCCCTTTACGATCGAAAACGGGGCAGCGACCAGGCGTAGCAGCTCTGGCCGGTTACTCGAACGCTTCGTCAATTACCAATACCACCTGCTCGAATTCTTCATCAACCACCACCTGTTCCAATTCCTCATTAATTACCAATACCACCTGTCCTACAGGGAATAGTTCATCGCCCTCGTCCCAGGACGTGGCTATCGAAGCAGGGGTCGGCGTTCCTTTGGGTGTCATTGCTTTGGCATCAATGGCCTGGGCGCTGTGGGAGCGTCGGCAATGTAAATATGCTCGCCTGGAGAGTATGCCAGCGACCGGAGCTCAGGTAACAGGTCAATACCAATGTCAATATCCCTCGCACGGTATATCAATCGCATCCGGCGGAGCTCGCGGCTAGGCAAACAAGGCTGGTATCGGAGTTGGACAGCAACGGGGGCGCAAAATAGACTACATATTGGGGTCAGCAAGATGTCCAAGATATGAAATAATGTAATAATTCAGGGTACTTATGTAGGTGTCCCACTAAATTGTCGGAGACTCCAGACAGAGGGGAATAAGTTCTTAGACATACGGCGAGACCAAGCCACAATTAGACACATCACACATCATCCGTCGTGCGAGCCTCCCCCTAGCTGCTTGTCAGGCCCCCAACTGTAAGAGGGCAATGTCCAGATTGGTTTAGCTCTTGCTCAATAAGCAGACGTATGACTCAGTGCCACTCTCGATGTTAATAAGACTGCATCTTCGGTATCCGTAAGCGAGTGCTTTTTGGGCATACGAGAGAAAGAAGGTTAAGTGGGTACGCCTCGTATTCCTTCAATTACATGTATTGGCTGCAGATTGACGAGTGCGAATACGGGATGGTCGACGAGTTGCGGTCAATAGCCGGAAAGCATACCATACTGACGAGATATGGCTTGATTTATTTGATTGATTACTCACGACTGGGACTAGAGAGGATGGTTCGGTCACCGAAGCCAATATCCATGATTAATGCTTAGATACATAGCCGGCTCCTCCCGGACAGATGGCACCGCCTGGTTCGTCCTCGTTGTGCTGACGGGAGTCTGTAGATGCACTGTCCGCTCCTGCTGGCGTGGAGGCCTGATACCGGTTGCGTGATTGCCATTGGGCTCCCAAGATTGGACGCCCGAGGCGTCCGGAGTAAGATGTTGCAGACCTGGATGCCTGATGACAGGATCAAAGTTGATGAGGATGATCGCTTGGTTACCGCCGCACAGTCCCTCCTGGTCGATGGAGTAGATGACTGAGCGCTCGTCGGCGACCGCTTGGATTTTGCCGATGCGGCGGGACGGGCAGAGGAGCTGGGTCAGCTCCGCGGGGGCGTTGTCGGGCGGCCACATGTGGATTCCGCGGGAGGTGAACCGCTCCTCGCTGTGTTCGATGGGGTTGCCGTCGTCGTTGGTGAATTCTGGTTTGTGGAGGGTGTTGCTTGTCTCGTCGATGGGACTTTTGCGTTTCCGGGAGACAGTCCGCAGGCGGAGGCGATCGTGTGGGATGTGGCTGCCTCCTGGTGATGATGGGTGGGGGTCGTTGACGAGGTCGACGAATGTCGAGGCCGAGAGGTTGTAAGTGCGGAACTTAGTTTTGGCCAGGATGAAGTCGCGTCGCTGGTATGGGGTGTCTTGGTCGTGGTTGACGCTGTCCTCCAATGGATATTCTGAGTGGTAGTGTCTGCGCAGCCGTTTCCGGGGTCTCTCATAGATTGCCTTGTTCGACGAATCTAGTGTCTTGGTTAAGGGCTCGTCTGGCAATTCAGCAGCTACCGAGCTACATGGTGGGTGGTTGGCCGGTCGCTTACTCCGAGAGATCTCTGCAGGCGACGGAAGGGGCTGCATGTAGTAAGTCCGGCAATTATCGCTGCCTCCATTGCGCCATTCGCGGCGACATTCTAGGATCAGGAGTTGGTTGGTCGCTTCGTCCTCTCGAAGTGAAAGGTCAGACCATGTGTCATTGATTGGGCCTTCGCGATGCTGTCGGCGCCACTCGGTGCTGGGCGTCACCGAACCCGTATTCCCGCGAGGGGGCAGACAGATCCACATGTACAATGAGGTCCAGTCAACTTCTTCTTCTTCAAAGTCTACCAGGGTCGAAACAGCATACAGATGATCCTGATGCACCTCGAAGCAGACGGTCTGCCCAATCTCATTGCCCACGAAATTGTGCAGCTCGACAGGTTTCTCTGTTGTGTGTTGTCCGGTAGCTAAATCCACGCAATGGACGGCCCACTGCGGATAGCCATAATGACTCAGTGCAGACTGAGTTCCGTAGTAAAGGTAGGACCTGTTATGTCGGACAAAAAGTCGTCGTGTGGACTGAAGCGGCGTGCGGAGACGTAATCGACCGGTCTTGCAGTCTGTTTTCCTGCGCATATCTACCGCAAGGAGCCAAGCATCCCGCACCTCCCCAATCTCGGCCAGAAATGCCAGAATCCCGTCACGGTAGTGCAGTAGCGATATCTGGATCGTATGTCGCGCCGGATTGCAGCCTGGAATCGCGCGAGAGAGCACATTGTGGACGTTCAAAACCTGCTCTAATTGACCAACCCCATGCACATCCAAGGCACGAATCTCGTTGTCGTAGATGTAGCAGAGGGAGCCTTGGTTGTACAGAAAGGCCGACCCGTAGGCGAGAACCAAGGCCGAATACGGCTGAGCAGTGGCGAAAGCCTCCTTGATATCAAACAGACGGCCAACTGCTCTACGATATCCTGTTCTAGATCTATCCGCTTCCCGTCCCTCCTTGGAATGTAGCAGGTGGTTCTAAATCAAGTTAAAATGCTGCCCTCGTTCTAAGCTTTCCAGGAAAGTACACACCTCGATTGTCTTCCTCGCAATGGACTCATTTCGCATCAAGCTGTTGAGAGCCTGGTTGACTCGACTGAGATGGATAAAGTCGTGGCAGTCCAACCCCGAGGCGATCTGGTAGAACACATCATATGGGATGGAGTCCAGCTTCTTGGTCATGTTGTTCATGTCCAAAGAAGGATGAAGAGATGGTAGCTCCAACAGAGCATGGGTAATATACCGAATACAGAACGATGGATGGTAATAATGTTGTAGTCAAAATATGCGGTGTTGATGATGTGATGACAGTGATGGTGGTGCGAATAGTAATTGATAATGAGTATCCCCAACGGTGGAAATACACTCATCCATCTTGCATGTCACACGCGGAGAAAGA